GTTCTACTTGGTCCTCTTTTGTTTGATCTTCCAGTGCTTGGAACTTATTTCTTAAGGTAGCACTGAATTCCTCTCTTTTATGCTCATGTGCCAGAAGTACTACACTGAATTTGGTTCGCTTAGCAGTTGGCTGTTCCCAGTTATTCAACTTTAACTTGAGTCTCGCCCAAACAAGACGGTGATCTGATTCGACATCTGCTCCTCTTTTTGCTCGTACAGCTTGTAGAGACTTTCTAAACTTTTTCCTGATACATATATGATCTATTTGGTTGTTCGTTTTGTGTCTGGGGATACCCATGTTATCTTGTGGATGTTTTTATGTTGAAATTCGCTTCCTCCAATAACCAGCTCATTTGTTGCGCAGAAGTCTGCTGGTCTTTCACCGTTCTCATTCCTCTCTCCTATACACCGTGGCATCCTATGGTTTCCTCATACCCACTGTTGTCTTTTCCAATCTTGGCGTTCAGATCTCCCATTAAGATGATCAGGTCTCTATTTGGGAATTTTCCTATTATTGCTTGTAGTCTATTGTAGAATGTTTCTTTCTCTTCTTCTTTGCTATCGTTGGTGGGTGCGTATCACTGTATTATGTTCATCTTTATTTTATTTTTCTTGGTTCGGAAGGTTACTGTTATTATTCTTGATCCAAGCGCTTCCCATCCAATCAATGCATCCTTCCTTCAATGTGCCTTCCTTGCCAACATCAAAGCGACTCCTTGCATGTGTGGAGCATCTTCCTCCTCATGCCCCTAGTACATCAGCATTTCTCCAGAGGCCAAAGTTATTTGCCCAGCTTGTACCCATCTTTTTTCACAGATGCCAAGCAGTGTAAGTTTGTCAGATGTCATTTCTGCTGCCACCTGCGCTGCTTTCCTTGTTTGATACACGGTTCTGACGTTCCATGTGCCTATGTTTGTTTCCTTAGAAAGAAAGGGTCTTCGGCTTTCAGGCTTCCAGTATAGCTTGGGTTTGGCCACAAGGCTACATAGCTCTTATTGGAGAAGAAGAGGCCTCTCTTCTCAGGGCTGAAATTTGTTGGGTTTTTTTCTTGTTGACGTTTCTGTAGCAATTTGTTTTTACGGGTGAGGTAGCTGGCCTCACCCCAACCCTCCTCCTTATGCACCCGGGCTTGAGACCGGCCTTGGCGGAGTTCTTTACAAATATTCCCTGTTAAAAAAGACTGTTCAGCAATTGGCGCTAATCGTAATTATTGGGTGGCTCGTTCTATTACAACTGCGAATTTCATATCAAATTTTTTATTACACAGATTTTCTTTTCTTAATTAGAAAAATATCTTTTTTAAGCGTGCGTAATTCAACTTCATTTCGATGAATAAACTGCTGCCGATTTTCAGCACCAACCCCAAGCATCACAATTTTTCAAGGGAAGGATGAAAGAAATATGACGACACTGATTTCACGAAATAAAATTCCCGATAACTGCGCTATATGATTCTTTAAAATCGCAAGTGCGTTTGGTGCATCACATTTTCTTTCGTTTTTCGGAATAAATAGTTGTAGAAATACATCTGCTGTGTAAAAGCGCCGGGTGGATCTTTAAAATATGAATATGTTCAGGCGCGTGGAAAAAAAGGTGCGATTGCGAGCCTTGGTGTGGGGAGGGCGGCACTAATTGTGACTCTTTTAAAATTTAAAGTCTTTTAAATTTACATTTTCACCCCCCCCCCCCCCCCCCCCCGATATTTCATTTTATAAAGGATTTATACCAAAGTTGTGTTTTTTTTTTTAGGGGTTGCTTAATCTTGTTATTTGTTCGAACTACTTCATCAATAAAATAATTGTTTGAAAGAAACCGTCCAAAAAGTTGACCCTCACTTAACAACGCTAGCTGCTAATGCCATTATAAAAGTTGAACCACAGTAGAATTGTAATTATCGTATAATGAAAATGAAAATTAGACTACATTTTAGCATGCATTTAAAATTTAAATATTTCCAAGCTTTACAAAATAATAAAAAAAAGAAGAAGAAAAAATATAAATATTAAAAAAAATATTTTATGTTTATTTAAAAAGCGTCATTTAAAAAAAAAAAGTAAATATGTTAAGAAGATAGATATATTAGGCCCTACACAGCCAACATAAATTTAATAATGGGTGATCTATCTTAGGCGGGTTGGAGTTGTCAGTATAAATGTGCACAGGTTGAAAGGTTTATTGTGAATTTCAAATTATTATAACTATTTACAGATTGATTAGAAATTAATGAACATTTGGCGCCTTTAGTAAAACTGATGAGCTTAATATTTTTTCCACAAATTCCAAGTTATTGTTCTTTCTTTTTAAAAAATACATAAGTTACGATTTATGAAGAAGAATGCTTTACTAAAACTACTACCCACAAAATTGAATTGATTTCAAAATCGAAACTTGTTCACAAAAACTTAGGAAACGTGTTTCCCACGGCACTTATAAAGCAAATTAAATTGTCACAAAAACGTAGGAAACGTGTTTTCCGCGGCACTTAGCCTATAAAGCAAATTAAATTGTCACAAAAATTTAATTAAAAAAAAAATATCCTGTGGTCTCAAGTAGCCTGAGGCCATGCAAAACTGCCCAGTGTGCCCTTGCCTTTAAGGCTTAAGCCTTAAGACGGCACTGCCAATGATACTTATCTATAGAGTTCTGCTGATTAGTTTGGCATCTCATTGTATGTCACGATTTTACAAAATAGAGCGTTCACCATCCAACCCGGTCCTGGAATGTGGCCTTGGGGTTAGGCTACCACAACATTGCTTGAACGGTTTATCTCTCCGCCGTCGTACCAGGCTTAGATATTAGGAAATCATATTTGTGTTTTGGTATAAGTTTAATATTTCATCATTTATTTTTTCGGGAACCCTAGGATCTTATGATATAAAGTATGTGTTGCTGGAAAGGGGATTTTATTTTCTATACTTTAGTATATTTGCAAGTCTAGATCTTGAGAGGATATTGTATTATTAAGTAATTAAGGGAATTTTCACATTCATCCGTGGGGGGAAACAGTGGTGGAGGGGAGGGGGGTCCCAAACCCTTATATTTAAAATATCTCAAAAGACCATTTAACTTATATAAATATAAAAGTTTATCTTAGATAGCCGAGACTAAATGTGAACAGACACATTCAAGTCTTTGGGGTTTTGATCCAGGATTTTGTCTTTTATTCGGGGTTGGAGTCTCTCGGGATGTTCCATTTACCGCAGCAACTCTGTCAGAAGTCAAGTTTGGCTTGGTCAATGTGTTACGTAGTTGTTTCTCTGGTGTGTTCGAGCTACCCTATTCCTAGTGCGCGCGCAAAATGGCGTTTGGGTTCAAAGTTTTAATCGCATCCCAAAGGTGCACCAAAATAAGCATCCAAAAAATCCGGTCGCTTCTCGGCCTTTTGGCTATGAGCGAGGTGTAGTGTCTGATCTTATCCCGTCGTGTTACCAAACCCGTTGGAAGGACGTGATATCTCGTCTTGTGTGTGGCCAAGACCGTGAAGATCGTTAGAACAAATTAGAGATTCGGAAGGCCAAGAGACCCGTAAGGGCTGACTTTGAAGGGATTAGTAGAACAAGGTATGTAGAACCTTGAATGGTAAGACAGGACCATTAGAGAAAAAAGTTTTGGCTACAAGTCTCCCTCAGCAGACAGAACACACGAAAATACGGCAAGAAAAAGAAACTAGTTAAAAACTTCTCTTATTGACTTGTATTTCGAGTCAAGCTCCCACATATCTTCTTCTACCATTTCCTTCACACAGCTTGAACGCAGTCTTTCTTTTATTATTATTTGAAGGGACTACCCCAGTGTTGCAATATATCTGGGGAAAGTGCGCCAGTGTTCATCGGCACCGTTTGGACGCTTTGAATTGTCCTTTTCCTTGCGATATTTCATTAAATTTAGATCCCCTTTTTTTCCGAACTTTTTCATAAGAGTTTTCTTCTATCACACCTTTTCAAACAAAATTCTAAAAACCAATAAAAGGCTATAGTTCTCAGGACCTGAATTTCTTGACTTTATAAACCCAATATTTTTTATTTAAAACTGTCAGGCGTCTCTTCACCACACGGCTACATTTTAATAGATAAGCTCTACCTTTATCTATTTTTCTTATTTTTTTTGGCCCCCCAGATGGGGTTGCGGGGGGGGGGTGCTTGCCTTCACCACTGTTCATCTCTGATGTCATCAAAAGGTGACCATCTGTCAACAATCTCCTTTTTATGATGACGGTCTTAGACTTAGGAAAATTTTTTTTGTATTGTTTCCTTTCCTTTTTCTTTTCTCCACCTAATTTTATATTTTGCATGGAGACACCCGTTGTGCTCATCAGGAACGCCCGGGCTATAGTCTCCCTATAGGCAGAGGCGTAGCGTGGTGGGGGCAGGGGGGACAGATGTCCCCGGGCGCCAGCTAGTTAGGGGCGCCAAATGTGCTTTGATATTATTTTATTGATCAAAATAATGGGTTTGAGAGTTGAAAAATAGAAAAAGGGGCGCTAAAAATGGATCTTGTCCCCAGGCGCGAATCTTGTCCACGGGCGCCAAACACCCTCGCTACGCCACTGCCTATAGGCATAGGCGTACAAAGCGATAATAAAATAACCAAATACATTTTCAACAGGGCCATACTCCTTGCATAATAATAATAGTGTTCTATTAACATTATTGAGACCCCGCTTACATTTTAAGGTTGAATGTTTTGGACCTTAATATTACAATCTATCTTGAACTGGATGTTAAAGAGGGACTAAAGTACTTCAACTTCCTGAATGCTCTTCCTTTGTAGTTGTTTTTTTAAAGTGTATTTTAATGTATTCGATATATTTGAAAATTTAAAGGCTAAACTCGCACATAACCCATGACCAGTAATAATAAAAAAAATATATTTTGAGATTGAAATAAATTAGTTAAATTTGCTACCCCGAAGAGTTATCGCCTAAAAACATGAAAGTAAACTAGTAACAGAGCCAACAGTTTAGTATCGATAAAGAAATAGCAATTGGTTTTTACATTTATGAATACAGATACCTAAAAAATAATATTATTGTCACAATATTACTATTAGCGATGGTCATTGTCAAAATGGATGTCATAACGCGACATAAAAATTGTTTAATTGGTATGTAACTTTTATTATCTGGAACTGATAACTAGATGCAAACGATACTAGGCCCTAATTAGTTTAAGTTAATTGGGACTACTAGTTCAATTATTTCCTGCCTGCTGTCACTTGTCCCTAGTTAGTCCCTAGCCCTAGCCTGACCCTGAGAGTGAGACTGACACTGACACTTGAGTGGGCTCAGGATTTGAGTGTGAATCACTAGATTTTACTTTTTACAAGTTTATGAACTTTTTCTTTTTAGCCCTACCTATAATTTTCATAAAATCTACATTAATTGCTTAGTTAGAATTATACATCAATAACAACACAGACAAATAGTAGACAAATATAATTATTAGTTGTATTTATTATTAAGCCAGTCAAGTCAATGATCAACGTGACAACGTTGAATGAATTTGTAGTGAGTCTATAATCTATGTAATTTAGGGGATAGATTGCAAAAGTGTAGTTAGCATAATGGGTTTTGCTAAGCGTTGTCTTACCCTAAGCGCAGTGACATCACTTTGGGGAATACCAACATAACATAACACTGGACTGGTGAATTCTGAATAGACCATTAAGTCCAATAGTTGGTCCTAAACTAACTAAGTATAACTTTCCCATTCTTCACTGAGGATTATAACCTAAATCTAATGATTTATTCAGTTAATATGATGAAATATATTAAAATGAAAAATTTTATATTAAAAAAAAAAAATTCAACTTACTAGTCTAGGTTCTATGGACTGAATAAGAGTAAGAGTCTCATCCTTGAGGATATGTCAGAGGGAAAAAGACATGCACTTTGATAAAGGGCTGTCTTTTGATTGGTTGAAAAAAAAGTATCCATATGTCATTAAGTCATTACTTTCTATCATTTCACGGTGCCGTACAGTAAGTCCCTCTTTTCTCGCTTGAAAGACAAGAATAAAAAAATAACTTACTGGGGAGGGGAGACCCCTCTCCCATTTTCAAGATAAAGAAATAAAAAATTAGACCAAAAATTTGTGATCAGAGAAATACAGAGCTACAAATATAAATATTTTGAAGACAGACTATAGCTGGAAATTGACCTGGGGAACCTGCATGACCTATATACCATGGAAGACATGGCCAGCTTTACCCCTAGTACAACCTAGCTGACCAATGCCTTTTTATTTCATTATAAATTAAATATATTTCATAGTCGTACTTAATATTGATTTAAAATTGAATAATTAAAATATTAATCAGTTATGTCCATTGAGTTAACAAAGTATAATACCATATAGTAAGTACAGTATAATAAATCAGTAGGTTTAAGACTTGCACCTCTGCTCTGATTGTCCACTGTCCACTAAAATATTTTATAAATATTATATATTTTTATTATTATTATATATATATTACTATTTTAGAGGTTAGATAACAGATCATATAAATTCATTAAAAAAAAATAAAAACATTGGCTAAATTAAACTGTGACACGAACCATCTCACATTGTTATTGATTACTTTGAGAAGAATATTTATTTAATTATTCAGGTCCATGCTAATTATATTTTGAAAGTAGTGATATGGGTATGTATAATAAACCAATAATAATAAATAATATTATGAATCATACAAATACAATATACTATGATAAAGCAACAATATTTATTAAGATTTCTGTGCTCGAGACCTATGCTGAAAAGTGGAAAATGGTTGTAAATGCGGAGAAGACTGTGTACTCAGTATTTACAAATGAGTGAAAAGCCCTCAATGAGAAAATCATTTTACACATCTGCGGGAAAATGCTCAAATGGGACAAGGCACCAACTGATATGGACCAAAACTGAAACTGGACCAAAAAATCCAGCTAGATATTCCTATTTGTGAAATTAGTGCCCAAGCCTTGTGAAAAAACTAGCTAGCACGATCTGGGTCGCTGAGGCAACCCTTCAAAGAATGCTATGTATTAAGAGTGTAAGGGGCATGATTGATTACAGCCTACCCATCCAGGCCTTTGCTAACTGTACAGCTTTAGAGGGTCTGGACCACATACAAAACCTAGCTTGCAGGTTCGTATGCGGGGTGTTCTACATTACACCCGCAGCTGCCGTAGAAATCCTGTCTGATGTTAAACTACTCAACATTAGGAGAGACAATGCTAAATACAGCACACTCATCAAGTACCCAAAGGAGGTACCTTCACCAGAGGAGATTTCAGGGCTGAGTGGAAAGTATAGCACAAGCCTTAATGCAGAAATCAAAGCTATACTTATGGCCTTGAAACAAATGTGCCGCCAATTAGCTTAATGAAAACCATTTCTGTCCTTGTAGTGTTTACAGGCTCACACTTCTTTCTCTGAGTAGATGCTCAATAGACACGAAAATGGTCAAAGCCATTCTGGATGTAGTACGAGACAAAAAGTCACATGGAGGCAGAGTAGTCCTTCAATGGATCCCTGGACACGCAGAACTATCCCAAAATTGCGACGCTGGTAGATGCAGCACACCTGTAATGTGCTTGCCAGGGTGATGAAAGATCGTTAGCTCTGCCCCAATAAGAGATTGAATGTATTAAGATTTCTTTCATTATCTCAGGTTTGCCTTACTTTTTCTTTCTATCACATGAGAGAAAAGCGGTGTGACATTTTCATCATTAGTCCCTTTGATGAGTAATCTAATGAATATTTATTACTAGGGCTTTCCGGGGGGGGGGGGGGGGGGGGTTTTTTTACACCGGGTCAGGGTATTTTGAGAAAATACCTGCTGGGTCCAAAGGTTACAAAAAATAAAATTTTAATTCTCATTTTCTATAGTATATGCCGGCCTTTATACAATAGTCCTACTTTTAGTCATTACGGTTAATTTAAAACGTGTTCAGTAGGGGGGGAGGGCTGGTTGCTATAAGGAAGCAGTCACACCAGAAGCAAAATATATATAAGAGATAATGGGTGGTTTCAGCGTATCCTTCGATAAAATACTAAGATTAAAATGCTTGTTGTTCGAAATTTAAATAAGTCCCAATAGGCTATATTTTAAATAAAGGCAAATAGTAATCCACTCCATTAGCATGAATGGATGAAATTCATTGATGTATTTGAATATGACTTTTTTAAAGAATAAACTCTTCTGTGTTTGAGTAGATCTAATTAGAAACACTCTCCCCAACTGTGATAAATGGCAAGGCATGAAGTAAATGTTTACTTTGTGTACATATAATTATTATCCAAATATGTACCAGAAAATCAAACAAACCAGATTAGCTACCCCTGGTATCGTCTTTTTAAAAATATGCATTTTGATCTCAACAAAAATTTTGGATTGTGAATCTTGTCAAAACTTTTTCCTAAAGCAATCTAGCACAATTAAAACATAATGGATCTAACATTTTTTTCAGGCTACGAACAATAACTTAAGCCATCAAAAGAGATTTCAGCGAATAATTTATAATGATGTCATCACGAAGTCCACCACAGACGGATGCAGAACCGGAGCCTATAAAATGTAATTTATTTTATTTTACAGGGCAAGCAGCTTTGAAGTCTTTTCAAATTTCAATTTAGTGGCAAATAGTTCTATAATCATAATATGTGGTACTGTCAACTATAAAGAAGGTTAGGATAACCTACCATTGTACCTTGCACACTGCCAGAATTATGTGTACTGGGTACAGTTTGAAGCTTAGTATTTCTGTCACAGATTTATCAACAAGAAGTTGATATAAAATATACACTGTTTATCGAATGTATTGCTATTGGAGATAGGGTACAAAAATTTGAATGTGTGAAAAACTTATTTGACATGATGGCTGTTGTTCAGCTGAAAAGTCATTACATTTCACATGAAATTCTTGTATTCTTAAAGAATAAAGTTAAGAGTAGCACAATGCTAAGGACTAAAATTATAACCAAAAAAAATAATTTCAAATTAACGGTATATTTATTTCAAGTAATATTTAAAATAATACTTTAAAGTTATCTTTATTCTGAATATGTTAGGTTTTGATTCCTGGCTAGATGTTTGATGGCTAATTTTACTCTGTATACCATATGATTAAATGATTAAGTAAAAGCAGCTACAGTTGAAAAGGTTGGGCTATAAAAAAAAAGTATGGTTCACAAGTTATCCACATAGTTTGCAGTTCCACATTCTATCATAAATTTAATTATCGAAAAGTACAATGAGTTAGAAATATAGTAAAGTGATAGAAATATAATCGATATACAAAAACAGATAAAATGATTTTCTTTATATTTCTCAGTCTCAGATCCCATAGGAATAAACAGATCTAACATCCAACCATCCGGGAACAGTTTATATTCTTCAAGTGGTGGTAAAAACTGCAAGAGTTCATCTTCAGTTGCTTCTCATTCCTCTGGTTATTCAAGTGTCTCTGAAATTAATTTAGTGTCTGCTTCATATTCTAATATACAATCTGCAAGACCTTTTTCAGATGAAAATAAACTATTGTATTCTGATTATCTCCCATATTTTAAAGATGAAAAATTGAAGGAAGACAACTGTGATATTCTTATTATACATGCTGAAAAGGACTTAACAGAAGCAAAACAATTCAAAGAACATCTGCAGAAAGATATTGTATTGCATGTTAACAAAAAGTCTTTGCGTCCAAGGGTAAAACTGTTACAAGAATTTATTGTAGGATCCTCTTTTGAATATCTAGACTTTGCATTTTCAAAAAGTCTTTACGTCTTTCTCTATGTTACAAAAGAATTTTGTGATTGCACTTGGAGTTTGCTACAAGGCCAAGCTTGTCTTACAGAAGCGATTCGTGATCTAGAAAGAAAATGGTGTGTGATTCCTGTTCATACAAGGTCAAGAAAAAACCAGAATTATAAACTTCCCATGATGCTCGGTAGTTTGCGACCAATAAACTATTGGAAAGAAGATATTGATCAGTTTTATACAGAGGGTGTTAGAAAACTTCTTGACTCTAAACTTGCTGTTCTTCTTCATAGAGATCAAATGCTAGAAGAAGATAGATCCAAATATTTTGAACTCAACAAAGAACAAATTTTACTAGATTGTGCATATCATCAGAAAAAGTCTTCTTATTTTGATGGTAACAGCTGTAGTTCAGTGATGCACCCTATCCAGGTTGAGGCTGATCATGTTTCCAAATTAGTATCTATATCAACAAATGAAGCAACTTTTAATCCAACTAAAAAAGATTTGATGGGAGCTACAGATTCTGGATTTGTTGAAGAGAGAGCGAAACAGATAACTCTAAATGAAAATCAGACAATTGATTATGGAAATTCATTGAAAGTCAGTTTTCAGAATAATGGGCCACTGCAAAAGCCTACATCATCAGATGTGGATTTAAGTAATTCAAGTCAGCACTGTTCATCCTCTGATGTGATTGGACCTTTAAGTACAGAAAATATATCTCCAGATACCATCACTAACCTTTCTTCTTTAGCTATCGATGGCCCTGCCAACATTGAAATACAATCGCCTGCCTCTAGGGTCAAATCACCAATCTCACATGAAGGTTCCAGAACACATTGTGTGCCATCAGCTTCTAGTGGAGAGCCAGTTAAAAATGCAGTTCCATTAAACTTACCCCCTGGAGGTTACACACATTCTGCTCTGTCAGTAAACACTTTCTCGTCAGGAGGAGCCCCTAACTTTTACCCAGTGCAAATGAACTGTCCGCAGATGGTCATGGGTCTAAATGGTGCATTATATGTAACTACACAATTTGGATATCACCTTGTCTCACCCCATATGCATTCTATGCAACCAGGGGTTGTATCAAATTCACAGCCTCTTCCCTATCATCTGCCTTTCCCATATAACCCTTACATGAGTATTCCAAATCAACAACCTTCTTCACAGCCATCTTATTTTGCACTACAGCATTCAAACCAATTAAGTTCAACATCCGAAAGTGCGCAATCCTCAATACAAGCCAATGTCAGCTCCGTTCCATCACAATTTATTTCAGGATCTGTGGGTTATATTCCACCAAGCATAACTCCATCTGGGTTTTATAACCCATATCAGACAACTACACCATGGCAGCCGGGAATAGTTAACCCTGGATTCACTCAGCATGATAATTCTGTTTTATCAAACAGAGGAGATTTTACAAACATCAAGTCTCTTCTGGCACAACCAGCAGGGGGTACAATGTCAGAGTTAAATAGCCCAAAAGCAAAGACCATCAGTGAACCTATTCCAGTAGATGCTGCTGGTGACAAGGCTTCAGACTCCTCCCCAATATCACCAAGTGCCGTCATTGCTCCAGTGGTACAGCACATACACCACCACCACCATAAGAAAGAGATCAGGGTGGAAAATGCTACAAATGTTCTAATTGGAGACCAATCAAAGTTTATAAATAATTCAACTGTTCACAGTGTTCATGCTGAAATGGAACATGAAAGTACTGATGAGGATGAATCATTTGAACAGCATGGTACAGGGCTTAAAACTAACGCATCCAGGTAAATTAAGAAGTCTTATATATCTTTATTGCTACTTGAAAAGTATCTAATAAACAATAGTGAAGATATTTTTTAATGGATTACATTATTTCATAAAACTTTACAAAATACGGTATAGTAATCAAAATTGTCGTTTTACTTCTTTACTTTAAATTTCCTATCAGATAATAGATAACTTGAATCCTTGATTACAGAAAATTTAGACATTTATATTTTATGTTACGGTACCTCTTTAATTTTAAAAGTAATATCATTTATAATATTTTGAATTATTTCTTTTTCAAAATGCACATTGGAATAGGCTTGAAAGACCAAGTTCTCAATCTGCAGATTGTATTCACAGTATGTATGGTACAAGTACTAATAACTTAGTTTCTTTGCATATTTTAATTTCTAGTACTCACTCATAAATTTTGGAAACATAATAATATTATGGCTTTTAAACTTTTGTGGGATTGAATTAGAATTCATCAAATGTATACATATTTTTAGTTAAGTGTACCAGTACATGGTTGATGTTGAATAAATTACTGAATGGTAAAGTAAGTTTAATTTTTTGTACCGGTAAAGATATTTGGAATTTTTTTGTGTTAAGTACAAAAATAACCCCCATTATTTCACCAGAAAAAATTCATGATTATAGAATGGTATTTCATTGAAATGGAAAGAAAAAGTGAAGAAAAACAGATCCCCAAATATTAATATATATTCATTTTCTTCATCAGGAGTAGAAACCTCTGTGAAAGATCTTAAAAAAGAGCCAGTAGAACAATCTGTGGGATATCCAGAATGTCCTGAACCAGTGACAACAAGAGAACCTATAGAAGCATCAAATGATGAAGCTGATGACAGCTCATTAATTGCTCAGCAGCATCAGACGTATGCAAAAGTGGTGTGATTTATGGTGTGGAAAATTATTATAAGCTTTTTTTTCCTTTATGAACTTTCTGATTTCTCAGCTAGATAGTATCAAATGTACTTGCCTACAGAGCAAAAATTTCTAGCAATTTTTATTAGGGTATTTAACTTTTTTGATAAATTGAATACAACTTTATTCAATACTCTCATCTGGTTTTAAATTAATTAGAAAGTGTCTCCTTGTTTTTTTTTATTAAAACCTTCCATGCAAAGCAGTGTCTCTCAAATGATGGTCCCCGGACTGGCACCAGTCCGCCAGCCTAACGCTGCCAGTACACACAACATGAGTAGGTAGGATCAAATAAAAAGATATAATTAATAAATATGGCACCGGTCCCTGATGGAATTTTAAAATGTGTCCACTGGCCGGCCAAACTTTTTAAATGTTTGGGAAATACTGCTGTTAAGTACAGTCAAGGGTAAAATTTAAAAAAAAAAAAAAAATGGTACTAGTACTATTAAAGTTAATTGTTGGGTTAATCTGAAAGTTATCTCTTTTGTGATATGCATCTTCTGTAATATTTGTCTGATATTCACTGATAATTATTTTAAATGGTGCCGGTACTAATTATTTATTTTGGTACGCTAATAGTGTATGACATTTAACCAGATTATATAAAGAACTGGTTGCAGCAAAAAATCAGTTTGTTCCAAGTTCATGTATTTGAAAATACTGGCAATATAAAATATATACACTGTGCTAAACTCTCAGAAAAAAGTAGGACATAAATGGAGTGTAACTAAAATTTGTATGTTCTCAAAAAGAAATGGAACATATAGAGGTACAGATACCATAAAATAAATGTTAATAAAGTAAGCAACATAGGTTGATCTAGAAATGATCCACAGATAGGATTACATAGTACAAATGTTAGTGGGTGAAATAAAGTTGGTAACTAATGACATTGTGTTTTGACTGGCAGTATTGTCAACTTTTCTTACTCTTAAATCTTAGAATCATTTTAAAGCTATAATTTTCTATGTAAGTATGTAAGTAGACCAGACTATACAAAATGCATGGCTCTCACTCAAAATCCTCCAAAGAATTTATTTAAGGTTTAGTTTCTGAATTCAGTGACTATAAACAAAAATAACTACTGTGTTAATTATTTAAGGGGCTCTAATCATTTCTAAACCTTCGCTGCATGGTAATCAATGGTAATTAAAATTTTTAAAAAAATATGTTATGTATATAAATTATTCACTGAACATAACAATTTCTTAGTAAGTGTGCACCACTTTACATACCACTGTACTCAATAAATTTAGTTAAATGTATTTTATATTTTGAGATGATCAGAAAACAGCAATATATATTTATTTGTGGACTTCCTTTATAAATACATTTCATAAATGTTTTAAGTTATCAAGATGTAAGACTAATGCTAGAAATTTGTTCATGTGGGTATACCCATTACCTATTGATTACAGAAATATTTTTTTTTACAGGATTTTTTGCAAAATAATTATATTATAACATACTTTTTATGATATAGCTGTAAACTCATGTTTTAAATGGTGATCACCTGAAGTTAAAATCCTGTCCTGCTTGGGATTGAATCCCAAACAAGTACCTGTATGAAAAATCCACTTTTACTTTTACACTGCAAAGTTTATAATTGTGATCATGTGGTTGCCGAATCAAGTTTACATCTGTCATCAACTTGTAGTACCGGTAGTTGTAACGTGCCAAAAGTAGCACCAGTGACAAACAAATGTTAGAAATTGGTGTGGTTATCATTTGTTTTGCTCAAATATGTGGGCTACTTTCATATTCTGTGACTGCTAACTAACTTGCATGGAAAATAGAAATCTACCAGTATCATAGTTATTAAAAATGTATACAAGTACACAGGGAGCAGGATTTTTCTAAATACATATTTTAGGAATGTGCTGCCTTTAACTTTAAAAGATACTGTATTCAAAGTTTTAATAGAGTAGAATTATAATTGATAAAATAATTTACTTGTAATACCAGTATTTAATGCTTGATACAGTATTACTCATGTTGGGCTTCATTGTGTAGTCGAAGGGGATTTTAATTCAAACTTTGAAGTAATATGTTTTAAAATCTTAAATTGTCAAAAGTTTAAGTTTTTATAGGATTTTTAGCTAAAATTAGAAAACTGTAGGTTTTGGCTACCGGTGCATTAAAAAAAACCAACACAATTGTTAATCAATTGTTGTTTTTTTCATGTACCGTACAGAGTATGATAATATTTTAGTAATGTATTTCAGTATTTTGAGGATATTGATTGCCTGATACTTATGCTGAGTGTTAAGCTATTTATATTTTAAATATGTTTTATGTGTCTTAATAAAGAACCTGTTGAAATTTTTGTGTCTTGTGGGTTTAATGAGTTAAAAAATAGTGTGAATATTTAAATGCCTGATTTATCATAGAGTTTAGCAGTAACATACTGTATAAGAGTTCATGCTGTGCTAAAAAAAAAAAACAACAACGAAATGTCACAGAGTCACGTTATTCAATGTATGCTAAAAATTATAATGTTTATACAAAATATTATATTTATATCTATTGTGTACCGCAGTTAAAAATCACAATATATAGCATCCTTCCGACTTTCCGAGACAATGGAGTAGCTAAGGTCACTTCATCAAATGGCTTACGAGGCAGATTCTGGAATGGCAGTCTTGGTTGCATTTCTCGCTGGAGAACCTTGACTCCTGGTTAAAGTTGGCCTTCCGTATTGCTCTTTTTGTTGCAAGGGTTTCGTCTCGGGCATCTTCTGCCCCTTTGACGCCTTCATACACTGCTGTTCGCCAGCTGGAACGTTGCTCAGCGATGATATCCCATTTGTTGATTTCTATGTTGGCTTCTGTCATGCTCTTTTTGCAAACAGCTTGAAACTTAAATCGCGGCCGTCAAGTAAGTCTTGTCCTTTCTGCCAGCTCTCAATACATGGCCTAAACAGCGAAGGTGCCTCTTCTAAGAGCGGAGAATATGCTAATCATTTTGGCGTGTTCCAAAACATCTGTTAGGCACCGTGTCCTGCCATTGCCATTGAACGCGCAAAATGTGACGCAGAAATTTTTGGTGGCGGAAGCTGTTGAGTTTCCGCTCATGACTGGCATATGTGGCCCACACTTCACTGACTTAGTTTTGTGCTATTCAGTTAGTTTAAGATTATTCCACACAGGCTTATTCAGTTTAGTCAGAGTTGATGTTGCTTTTGCGATCCTGGTGTTCACCTCTTCGTCAACAGAGTGAATTGGATCCAATCAAACTCTTTACATTTACATGCGCGCGAGAGACGATTAACTAGCCGCTGAAGACCTCCTGTGTGAGATGCTAAGGTGGCTTCGTCAGCGAACAGCAGTTCACGGATTAGTCTGGGAATTTTTTTTTTTTTTACCTTGGTCTTTGCACGAAGGCGGGCGATATTGAAGTTAATTGAACTTCCTATCACATCTGGTATGGATATACACTCCGTCTTTACAGTCCCTGAAGACATACCGAAGAAACATCGAGAAGAAAATGGAGAAGAGTGCCAGTACGCAGCCTTGTTTTTCTCCGCTGTTGTCTGGGAATGCCACAGATACCGCGCCGTTGAAGTTGAAGGTTACTCTGCTGTACGTTCTGGATATATTTTTGTGAAATGACTGAGCAGTCGTGAAGGAAAACCTATTTTATGCAAGATATTTAACAGGCCACTCCAGCTTATTGAGTCAAATGTATGAACGCAATTTAAAGAGGCCCATGTTGTTCGCTACACCTCTGCAATAGGCGCAGTGAGGGAGAATACCATGTCTATAGTTGAACGATCTCTTCGGAAGCCACGCTGGGTAGGTGCGGTTAGTGAGACTGCGACACGGGCAAAGGTCATTCCAACTAATGTCTTACTACAAAACGTTAACGGGCAATGGCAATCTAGATGTGTGTACCCGGTATTCTTATTTGCATTCTCTCCTTTGAAGTTAGGACCGAAAGCTATTAAAATTATACTATTTTTTGCCCCAGTCTACTGTCAGAATTTACCAGCATGATCCCCCAGTGGTTAGAAAATAAAAATGATCGAAAATAAAAAAAATAATTAAGTCATTTTTGTCACTAAGGGAGTGAAGTTTTAGGTACATGAAAACAGATTTTCATGCTTGAGAAATACTTAAGATTTCTTTTGTTTAAATTTAAATTATTATAATTTTAAAATGTCTTGGTTAAAATATTATTTATTTGTGTGCTGAAATGGAATATGTATATTTTAATAAAAAATATTTCCATTATTTGGATAAATATAATAATCTTATCTTATATGTGAAAACTTGCATAAGACTGTCTCCAAATTTCACTACTTTGGAAAAATTCCCCTTCTACCAACATCTCCAACCCGTCTGCATTTTCCACTGAAAATCTGTCCCAGCTCAAACCCTGAACCTCACTATACACTAAAAGAATATCCCTTCCATCCTCCACTTTCCTGTCATCCCCATGCAACCTTTCTCCCCTCCAACAACCACCAACCATCACTCTCAGGTAATCTCCCCATCCACAGACCATCCCCCTTTCACTTCCAAAATTTCACCACAAATTTCGATCGTTTATCCGCTGACCAAAATAATGTAGACCAACAGCTTCTTCACTTTCTCCTAATGAGCAATGATCATTACACTAAGTAAGAAAGTCATTTTACAAAAAAAATAGTTTACTCTCAATTTGTACAATTCATCATTTGGCATTTCAGACAAATGAATTATTCCTTTAAATAAAACTTCTGAGCTTCTTGCTGTCTGCACATTGTCCGTACAACTACAACTTTGTTCTCAAGTGGTCTGCCAGTTTTTGACATCGAGATAAGTTACTGAGCAGCCGCGGTATTTGGCAGTGTCTACTTGTTCATTGCCCTTCATGTTTACGGATGGGAAGCCATTGCACCGTCACCTTGCCTCCGATTTTCTCGATCTTGTCCACGTCATCCAAGATGGCCTCAACCACGAGGGTGTAACGTACTTCCTTATTTAAGAGCTCAAGAGCAGAACTTGAATAGCAGAAAATGACCACGTTTCAAACTCCCTCCCCTGCAGCATACTGCGCACACTTTCCAGTGCCCTGTGAAACGCCTGACTCTGTAACTCCGCACCGAAATTCGACGCTGTAGTCCAACAAGGTCCTGAAAGTTCTTCATTGGTTGGCCCTTCGATTAGGTATAGGATGGGCGCACCGTACCCCGCATTTCTTTCTCTCAGGTTGGCCGATCCGCCCGTAAAAAGCGTCCACTGTATTTTCTGCAAACCCGTCAAAATCAATTGTCTCAAGGGCAACCGCTCTCTGTATATGTGCAGGGCTGCTTTTCGTCACTGAATAATAGAGTACCGGTAATACAGCCAAAGGGGCACTCCAACATCAAATTTTATATTTTTACAGTTTATTTTTAGTTGTTGTTTTTTTCCCCACTGCATGGCCATCCCAGAAAGATGAAGCAAAATGGTCAAAGAAATCGGCTATCAAGTTAACAACAGAACTTATCATTATTTTAAATGATATCAGTAAAGAAAGTAAAAGACAGTTTTAAAAATAATGGATTTTGTTAATGGTATGAAAGTTAACCAATTTTGAACAAAACTGGTTGCAGCAAAAATGGGGGTGTTCAAAGCTCTTGTATTTGCAAATTATGACAGGCTTAGTATATACGATGCATTTTATATTACCGTACCAGTAGGCCATATGCAAATACATAATATATACTAAACATGTCATAGTCATAGAAAAAAATTGGATGTATATTTTAAATAAAGTTGCAGAGTTATTAAAGGGTGTACAATAACTGGAGCACAAGAGAGATACAAGAAAAGTTAGACAAATAATGTACACAGCATGGAAATATAAATGATCCACGGAGAGGGTTACGTTGTAAGTTGTATAACTTTTTATGGGGGAAATAAAAAGTGTGGAATTAATTTGCTTGGACTGGCTTTATATTTGATAAATGTTCAAGTTATAGTAAACGTTTTGGAATATATCTAGAAATGAGTTTATATAATATAACCAACAATCATTGTTAACAAAAATAAAATTAAAAAAAAATATTTTGGATAAAAAACAACAGAATAAGTTGAATAAAAATAACAACTATGCAGCTCAATATAAATAATAGGAAAAGAGTAAAACAAAGTAAAGTCAAACCTGAAAAAAAAAAAATAAACGAAACAAAACGAAGAACGAGTCGACAGAAAGACATCGACGGCGAACACAAAAAACAACAACAAACATATGTTAAAAAAAATAAAATTAAAAAAAAATATTTTGGATAAAAAACAACAGAAAAAGTTGAATAAAAAAAACAACTATGCAGCTCAATATAAATAATAGGAAAAGAGTAAAACAAAGTAAAGTCAAACCTGAAAAAAAAAAAAATAAACGCCACAAAACGAAGAACGAGTCGACAGGAAGTCTTCGTCGGCGAACCCAAAAAACAACAACAAACAATAAATACAAAAAAATAGCACTTAGCTGAGATGTACTATCCGAGGGAACAGCAAAAGAATTGTGACAGAAAATAAATAGGTGACAGATTAAATAGGGAAGAGAGGAAGTTGATACACTGCGATAGGTCGTTACATGGAGGGCGGGGCTAGGCTCAAGCTGTGAACAAAGACATGAAGTCCATGCTATGTGGTGTCAAGGTTCCATAGATCAGGATAAGCTGGTGTTCCAAATTCATCGGGCTGGGTGTGTTTGTGCTAATCACGATCGCACTCATTGTAAAGTCTGCATTGCCATTGTGGTTGCTTCTATTGAAGTTTTAAGAGGATGAACACTGTTTATCTTGCGTAATATTACGGATGTGTTCAGTACACCTATCAAAGAGACGGCATCCTGTCTAATCTAAGTACGACATCTGGTAGTAAGTGCAAACAATGACTTAGACAGCATTGCGGCTAGTACAAAGGAAACTGTCGCGTATCTGAAAACTGCCCTTAGGGACGACAAAAGGGCAAGTGTTGCAATGGCTGTGTCCACATGGCTTGGTCCCGAAGTGGGAGGGGGCAGTGTTGATGTGACTGCGCATAAGAAGGTCTCTCAGATTTTTATCACGTCTGAAAACAATGAGAGACGGGGAAGAGAAAATGTCCCGTGTTTCAGTGTCGGCGAGGAGTAGAGCATGGTTTTAACGAAAACGCGTTTGACTATTATATTGTGAGGGTGATAATAAGTTTGGTCCTGTCAACATTGTCGTTCGGACGTGACCTGAAGGCATCAGGACGGGTAATATTCTTAACCCTTTGAAGGGCTGATGAAAGTA